ACAGCAAACACCCAATTGGGGCACCCAGCCCAGTCTTAGAGTGTGAAGAGCAGAGGTGACACCACTGGCCAGAAAAGCCTCTGCCTGGAGAGGAAGAAGAGCCCTTGTGGGGGAGGAGACGAGGCTGGAGCTCAGTGAGTTGACTGGCTGCTCTGCGGGGAGGGCCGTGTGCAGCGGCTGCCCCTGCCACCCCTTGAAGCAGAGGCAGGGAGCAGTTGGGGCTCCCAGGTGCATCTCAACGGCCGCAGCATCTCTCTGCCTTGGAGTCTGTCATGTGTACAGCATGCATTTCCTTTAAAAAAAAAAAATCATAGAAACAACATCTTTAAAGTCAACTAGTCTCTTCCCACCTGCCCTGCTCTCTCCTGTTACTGAGGGCAGCCTCAGAGAAGACCCTTTCCAACCTCCGAGAAGGTGGTCAGCCCCGGCTGACGACAGGGCGAGGACACAGTAGCAGCGACCTTCTAAGAATCAATCCAGGAGGATAGAAAAAGCTTCTTCTGGCCTAAAATCCTACACACTGTTTTATGATGCTTCATTTCTAGACATCTTTGGTAACTTATAGAGTGATGGAGAGATGTAGCCTTACACCCAAATCAGGAGACATTAGCGCTGTGTAAGAGCAGGCCATTGGGTAGGAGACAATGGGGCAGACAGAACGGTCAGACGGGGTCACAGTCCCTGCCCTGTTGCATGGTGGGCAGGGAAGAGGGAAGGGGACAAAAGAGGCCCTTACCCCAAGCTGAATATAATCTCTGGATTCTCACAGCATTGCATCTGTGTCCTGTATGTCTCATTCCATGTGTGAAGAAAGGAGTTGGCCTGGTCCATCTTCGCCACCTCAGCAGTTCCTGGTTGATATCTTGTGTCAAAGCAGAATTCAGTAATAGAGGACTCTGGAGCTAGATTGGTGCATTGAGAGTCTAGGTTTTCCACTGACATTTGCATTTCACAGATGTTGTTTATCCCATTTTAATGGTGAACAAACCGAGGTACAGTGATTTGTTCAACTACTCATTCACTCATTCAACAAATATTTATTGTGAGCTAAGGCACTGTTCTGAATACTGCTGGTAGAGACAAAAATTTTAATGCCTGCATTCTGGTGTGGGTAGACAAAAATAAATGAAGATATAAAATGCATAGCCTGTCAGGCAGTCATCAATGCTGGGGAGAAAAATAAAGCTGGGTAGGGGCTTTTTAAAAGGAAGGGTCAGCCTGCCCAGGTGGCTCTGTTGGTTGGAGTGGCCTCCCGTACACCAAAAGCTTGCACGTTCGATTCTGGGGCACATACAGGAGGCAACCGATCGATGTTTCTCTCTCACATTAATGTCTGCCTGTCTCCTCCCTCTAAAATCAATAAACATATGTTTAGGGACAACTGTAATAGAATAACAACAAAGGATTTTAAAAACATTTTTAAAAATTAAAAAAGGAAGGGTCAGAAAAGTCTTCCTGTGCAGGGGATACTTGTGTGGAGACCAGGAGTTGGGAGCTCACCTAGTGGGAAGGTGGCGGAAGGCCTTTCCAGGAAGGACAGGGCCCTGGGTGGGAGTCTGGTGAACGAGGAGGAGCGAGGAGGCCATAAAGTTCTTCTGTGACTTGTCCAGGTTTCCTCGATACAAAGCTTGAGTCCCAGTCTAGTGCCAGAATTCTAACCACCCCCAACAAAAAACTGTTTTTATTTCATGACCAAATACAATGGGTATATTTTACAACTTTTTGGGTTTTTTTCCTTTTATATCTTTGTTTGAACATATTTAATTTATATGCTGATGCTAAGTTCTTAACATGCCTTTTTTTCTTTAACCATTTTTAAGTGTGAAATCCAGCAGTATTAAATACATTGTGTTGTGCCACCATCCTCACTATCCATTTCCAGAGTCTCTTTATCATACTGAATAGAAGCTCTGCATCCATCAAACAATAACTTCCTTTCCCTTACACCCTAATTCCCCGCTAACATCTACCATATATTTCTGTGAATTTACTATTCTAGGTACTTCCTATCAGTGAAAACATACTCTGTCTGGCTTATTTCACCTAGCATATTTTCAAGATTCATCCTTATTGTAGCATGTATCAAAACGTCTTTCTTTTTCATAGTTGAGTAATATTCCATTACATGTACAGGGTGGGGCAAAAGTAGGTTTACAGTTGTTCATATGGAAAAAAACACAATAATTAGTAAATAATAATACAAGAATAAACCGAGTTTTGTGTACTCAGAATTGTAAAACTCCTTTGCCATACCCTGTGTATACTGCCTTGTATTTACCCATTCATCTGTTGATCATTTGTTGCTTCCACCTTTGGCTCCTGTAGTGCTATTATGAACATTGGCATACAAATATCTGTTTGAGTCTCTGCTTTCTTTTGACTATATATCTAGAAGGGGAATTGCTGGATCATACAGTAATTCTATGCTTGGTTTTTTTGAGGAACTACCAAAACTTTTCCACAGTGGCTGTACATGCCCCGCAGCAATGTACAAGGTTTCAATATTTCCATTATCAATTTTTACTTATAAAAACTTGTCATTTTGTTTTGACTAGCCACTCTAATAAGTGTGAAGTAGCACCTCATTGTGGTTCAGGTTTTACTTTTCTCACTGACTCCAAATTCGTGACCCATCTTTAATAGGTATATGCATTCTTAGTTTTGGTCCTACTGGCTCTTTGGTTTTCTGACCCATTCTCAATTTGTATGAGATTCTCAACCAGGGGCAATTTTCATTCTCAGTCCTTCCCTACCAAGGACATTTAGGAACGCCTGGAAGGAGACATTTGCAGTTGTCATGACACAAGGAGGGGGCACGACTGTCACCTGGTGGGTAAAGGCCAGGAATGCTGCAAAACATCCTACAATGTACAGGACGCTTGCTATCATTTGCAATAATTTGCAACAATCACTTGCAATAATTTGGCCCCAAATATCAGTAGTGCCAAGGTGGAGAAACCCTGGATTATAACTCTTGTCATATTTCATGTACCTTTATAAAATACCTTAAATTCTTTTGGGAATAAAGCAGAATATATAGTGAACTACTGCTTTAAACTAAATGATACTAACATTGTGATAAAGATGCAGAAGGCATGAATTTCTTTCTATAGTAGCCTCTGTATGTACACTCAGAATATATACATTTGAATATATTTATTGAATTGGTTGCTAATTCAGTAACCTAAAATACAGTGAGATGAAAATATTGCCATTAATATTTTCAAGAAATTGGTATGTTCCCAAAGGAAATAGCAAATTTAGATATCTGGCCTTTCATTAAACTGCAAAATATCACGTACCAGCCTCACTGTTTGGCACTAATTACACATGGCTGGACCAGGTGGATATGGTCCCAGTACCTATGGAGCACAAACCTCACTCTATGAATATCTGATGTTAGTAGGCTAAGCAATTTTTTATTGTTTTTCATCTTGTTGAGTGTTTTTCAGAACTGCAATCTTGAATTCTCTCATTTAAGTCACATATTTCCATATCTTTGAGTTTATTTTCTGGAGGTTTTCCACTTTCTTTCTGAGATGCCTCTTACCTTGGTTATTCATGGTATTTGATGGATTCCTTCTCTGATTAGGCATCTATGTATGAGTGGTACTTTTATTGTAGAAATGTTTTGATGCATCTCCCAAGTTGAATAGTTTAAGGAAACAAAAATTCTTATAAAATGAAAAACTTTAATTGTTTAAAGCAAAGGCACAAGTAAATATTTCAGGTTATCATGTAACAATAAGAAATTCCAACAGTAAAATGAAATACATTATAATTTTGCATCTCATTGGATACCTATTATATTATTCTATCATTTATTCTTTGGAGAGAAAAGAGAGGATAGGTAGATTGATGGATATGACGTAAAAACTTGGATTATAGTCTCCATTTTTAACCAGGAATTTTATTTCAATAGAATGAATTAAATTTAAATTAATTTAAAAACTTACTGCTTTGATAATGACAGAGCAACATAACTTTCTTGCTAAAGATCATTGTTTTAATAAAGTAAATCATTGATTTCTGAAATGTTATTTGTCAATGTCTGGTACTGCAATAATCAAGCTGGCCGTAACAGGGCTTTACCAAAACACAATTCATATACTTTCCTTATTTAAATCTGGAAATTATACTTCAATATGTAAAAGGTAAAGGAGAATGAGGAATCAAATAATTTCTAATGTAAAAAAAATACTTAAAAAGCTCTAGGCCTTGTTTTCAATCAAAGGCACTATCTGGAGAGTAATAAGTTGCATCATGAGCCAAGAAAAAAGTTTTTTTCCTTCCAAAATAGCCAGTCAGTTAGTTGGGATTTGATGTCTCAATTAGTCATCAAACATAGAGTGCCTAGTATTTATCAATAAAAAGGGTAGAAATTGTGTAAAGTTACATCTTTGATTTCTTTTTCCAGGATGAAAAATTACCACTAATTTTTAAAAAGGCTGTTGAAGTATTTTCTTGATCTAAAAGGTCTGTTTCATTACTTCAATGCAATTTCCATTTTATTCAGATCACTAGTAAGCCTGTACTCTGAGCCTTTCAATCCAAGAGGGCAACGGCACTAAGAAGGTGACTTGCCCAAGGGCGTAAGTTTTTTGAGTTTTAAAAATTTCATTCACTTCCTCCCTGCTCCAATATTCCTCAACTCTATTTAACTAAATAACATTTGAATGACACAAAATACCAGAGACTAATTCAAATCTATCAAGAATACATTGTCCAATGTCTCAAAGTCTTAATTTGAATAAAGTGGAATATAACCAGAGCATAATATCCTATTGTATCCTAAAGGTCAGGAAGATTTTTAACTGTTCTAAGGAGTGTTTGAATCAAAGATGTTGAATGAGAAGATTGTTTCTTGTTTTTCATTGTCCAAATTACAAGAGTACTGATGGATTAAGGTTTAGTTACCATAATTCTTTTAATAGCTAATTAAACAGTATTTAGGAAATTCTCTTAACAATATTTTTAAAAGTTTAGAATTAAAACACAATTATAGAAAGACATTCTTTCTTTTAAAGTCAAATTATAATATTGATTCAATAAAGCATGCCCAAAAGGTCAATCCTACATACTTTAAAGAAAAGTGCTGTGATTCTGGAATTCTTTCTTTCTCCATGTCCAAAGGTACAGATATCCTTCCAAATTTGCCTATGGTGTCAAAGACTTCATGATATAAAATAGCTGGCACACTTTCCATTTTGAATAGTTCTGAGCACGAGATTCACCAGGAAATTTTAGGTTTCCAAACTATTAGCTCAACAGCAAAAACAAATGGTTCAACCTTCCACTGAGACAAATTGAAGAAGCAAGCCTACATTTTAGAGTATCTAAATCAAGGGTCAGCAAACTTTTCCTTTAAAGAGCCAAACAATAGATATTTTAGGCTACTTGACTTTGCCACTGTAACACAAAAGCAGCCATAGACGATATAATGGGTAAGCATGAGTATCCAATAAAACTTTATCAACACTGAAATTTGAGTTTTATATGATTTTCATGAGACAAAATATTCTTTTGATTTTTTTCCTCAACTATTTGAAAATGTGAAAAACACTGTTGGCTTGTAGGTCACATAAAGACAGGTAGTTGGCTGGAAACTGGCTCATGGGTGTAGTTGGTGACCTCTGGTTTAGATCATTCAGATTTCTTGATGTGGGTGTCAAAGCAATCATAAAACCATTACTCATCTCATTTCACTTGGGCATCAACAGCCTCCCAGGCTGACAGTACGGAACCCCCAAAGCACCAAACAATTCTGGGAGTAGTATCTACGCCTGTAAGCCATGAAATGTGATTTAAACTTACTTAAAATCATATTAATGGCAAGAAAAGGAGGGCATTAAGAAATTCGTTAGCTGAAATTTTTTCAAATGCTTTGGTGTCAGAAAGATCTGAGTTAAAATCTTGGCTCTGTTACTTACTAACATGTAAGTTACTTAACCATTAGCATTTAGCCTGGTGCTACGGACAGGGCAGGCATGTTTTCAATCTCGTTTCTCAAACAGCTACAAAGGGCTTGCTGGAAAGGCCTTGTCCATGGAGATGCATAAGGCTTAACTCCTGGTTTTACTTTTTATATATTTCAAAATTTTTTTGTCCTTACCCAAGGACATTTTTTCATTGTTTTAGAGAGAGAAGGAGAGAGAGAAACATCAATGTGACAGAGAAGCATCGACTGGTTGCCTCCCATATGTGCCTGGGCCGACCCAGACAGGGGATCCTCGGGACCCCGGGGATCATACGTATCCAGACCCAGGGGTGCACATGTCCACACCCGGACCAAAGATCAAACCCACAACATATGTATGTGTTCTGACTGGGAATTGAACCTGTAACCCTTCAGTTATGGGATGATGCTCCAACTGACTGAGCCACACCAGCCAGGGTTCCTGGTTTTAGATAGAAAACTACTTTTGTCTCTTCTTCTCCATTCTGTAGTACATATATTTTTTCATGCATGCAAAATACGCTGCAAAATTGTATCTCTATATATACTGAATGTACCTTCCCTTCTTATCCTTGAAGGCTGTTGATGAAAATAAGAGTGGAAAGCATCCAGTCAATGCATTCTTGCTGTTTTTTCATAGTGTAAGTGTAATTTGGGTGTCTCCTCCAATTTATCAGTGATAGATACTCAATTTCCAAGGAAAAATAGTCTAGATGATAAAAAATGAAGAACTGGTAGGAAAGAATTCTTGTGGCTTCATAGATTAGTGATTAGAGAATCTGAAGATAATGCTCATAGATTTATTTGCAGATATTGTTGTGTATCTTGGACTTAAGTCCACTGCTTAATTTATATTAAGTAAAATATTAGCTCTAAGTAATGTGTGCTATAACCTTTTGAATCATGGACAATTTATTAGTTACATACATATGAAGCAAAAGATCTCACCAATAGTATTTCTGAACAAGCATCAGTAATGAATTTGCTAGTGGTGAATGCTAAGCAAAATACTAAAGCTATTAAAATATTAGTGTTTGGTTTTATTTTCAATTTCCTTTTAACTTTTTATTTACAGAAGTCCTGTTCAAATGCTGAAGGCAGTCATTTTGCAACATGTACATTCTCCATATAAAATGGTGTTTGATAGTGGGTGAGGCTTATTTATAAATTATGTACAAAAAACAACATATTTGTAGTTAACTTACTTCTCTGACTGGTAAGCAATATATGGAAGTATCATATGCACATAAAAATTAATTCAAATAAAACTTAAAACTCCCAAGAAAGATAACCATTAATTTGTATTTATAAAATTATATGGGAAAAAAAACCCTACTGTGTTTGGGAACTTTCAGTAGCCCACTAATAAGGCAGTGATTTCAATTGAAAAAAAAAATACCTCAAACACAAAAGAACAAGATAAATCAGATGCATGTCTTGGTTAAATGTTTGTAGACAGCTGCTCTGATAACAAATTGATAAACATAAATATACAATTTGTTTACTGAGCATAAAATATTGCACAAGAGCAGTTTTGTCAGAAGAAAATTAAATTTTCCATAATTTTGAACTTCAAAATGGTTCCCACATATAGATATAATTGTATTTTCTACACAAGAAACATTTAATATTCAGTAATACTGTTAGAACCTTATTTATCATGTTAACCATATTCCAGTCTACTTTATGGCAATGCTAAGTTAGCAGTGAAGGTTTGGCAAAGATAAAAAGGCAGATAAGATCGAAAAATATATATATGTACATATGAAACAGATATGTCCCCAAAACCCTTAATTATATAACTGATCCCTTAAAAAAATCCACAGTCTAGTTCACAGTGATGGTCAGACAGTGGTTGAGTACGATTCTCTTTTCCTTGGGGGTCGGTCCTTTCGAGCCACTTGATTGCTCTCTCTGGTCTCCATCACACTGTCCTCTGTTTCACTTTCACTACCATCTGCCACAGCGGGGTCCAAAGACATGGGGCCAGATTTTCTGTGCAAAGGGAAACCAATGCCGCTCTCCTGTAAGGAATTATCTATAAAATCTTCATCAGAGGAATGGAATGATTCGTCATCTCCTATCAAATGGTTGACAATGTGGATTCCATCAAAAGGGGGTTGGCCTGAGAAGCCCCTCTGGCCTTTTAGGCACCTGAGCTGTCAAAACAAAATCCAAGTTAATATACTCAACTGGGGGAAATACACACACAGCCCCACCAAGAAAGTAAACATTTCACGTTTAAGGAAGATGATACCTTGATTTTCCCATTTATAGATATAATAGTAACAACCAATTTTTGAGTGACTCCTGTGCATTATGTAATAGACACGTTATTTTATTTTAATCATCACAACAGTCCTGTATGGTAGATTTTATTATCCTCACTTCAGAGATTAGGAAATAGACTCAGGTAGAACAACTTGCTGAGGACACATAGCTAATAGTAAAGTTTAAATTCAATGGAACTTTCAGGACATCTGGCCAAGACGGAGGCATAGGTAGATAGATATGCTTTGCTTCCTTGCACAACCAAAGTAAGGATAACAACCAATTTAAAAACAAAAAACAACCAGAACTGCCAAAAGATCATACTATGGAAGTCCGACAACCAAGGCGTTAAAGAAGAAACATTCATCCAGACTGGTAGGAAGGACAAAGATGGGCAGCCGGGACAGACAGGATGCTTGACAGAGTGGCGGCTGGTGGACCGGGATATCCCACATTTGCATGCAGATAAGCCGGGAGAAACAACTGGGGAGTGAGACAAATCACGCAACCCAGGGTTCCAGTATGTGGGAAATAAAGCCTCAAAACCTCTGGCTGTTAAAACCTGTGGGGGTTGTGGTGGCGGGAGAAACTCCCAGTCTTACAGGAGAGTCCATTAAAGAGGCCCACCAGATCCTAGGACATACACAAGCCCACCTACCCAGGAATCAGCACCTGGAAAGGCAGAGTCTGACTGTGGGAAGCGAGGGAAGTGACTGAAAATGGGGCAAGGGCCTAGCAAACTAGCAAGTGGTATTGTTCCCTCTCTGACTCCTCCCCGACATATAATGCCACAATTAGCAAAGTGGGTTGCCAGCCCTAGCGAATACCTAAGGCCCTGCCCCTTACAATATAACACAAGTGCAGAGACAAAGAAATATGGCCCAAATGAAAGAATGGATCAAAATTACAAAAGAACTAAGCGACAAAGAGATAGCCAATCTATCAGATGCACAGTTCATAACACTGGTAATCAGAATGCTCACAGAAATGGTTGAGTATGGTCACAAAATAGAGGAAAAAGTGAAGGCTCTACAAAGTGAAATAAAGAAAAATAGACAGGGAACCAACAGTAAAGGGAAGGAAACTGGGACTCAAATCAACGATTTGGAGCAGAAGGAAGAAATAAACATTCAACCAGAACTGAAAGAAGAAAAAAGAATTCAAAAAAATGAGGAGGGGTTTACGAACCTCTGGGACAACTCTAAACCTTCCAACATTCGAATCATAGGGGTGCCAGAAGGAGAAGAGGAAGAGCAAGAAATTGAAACTTACTTGCAAAAATAATGAAAGAAAACTTCCCCAATCTGGCAAAGGAAATGGGCTTCCAGGAAGCCCAGGAAGCTCAGAGAGTCCCAAAGAATTTGGATCCAAGGAAGCACACACCAAGGCACATCATAATTACATTACCCAAGATTAAACATAAGGAGAGAATCTGAAAATCAGCAAGAGAAAAGGAGATAGTTACCTACAAAGGAATGCCCACAAGACTATCAGCTGATTTCTCAAAAGAAACCTTACAGGCAAGAAGGGGCTGGAAAGAAGTATTCAATGTCAAGAAAGGGAAGGACCTAGATCCAAGATTACTCTATCCAGCAAAGATATCATTTAGAATGGAAGGGCAGATAAAGTGCTTCCGAGATAAGGTCAAGTTAAAGGAGTTCATCATCACCAAACCCTTATTATATGAAATGTTAAAGGGATTTATCTAAGAAAAAGAAGATAAAAAACTATGAACAGTAAAATGACAACAAACTCACCATTATCAATAACTGAACCTAAAAGACAAAAACAAAAACTAAGCAAACCACCAGAACAGGAACAGAATCACAGAAATGGAGATCACATGGTGGGTTATCAGCAGGGAGGTGGGGAGGGAAGAGAAAAGGGGGAAAGGTACAGGGAATAAGAAGCATAATTGGTAGGCACAAAATAGATGGGGGAGGTTAGGAATAGTTTAGGAAATGGAGAAGCCAAAAAACTTACATGTACAACCCATGGACATGAACTAAGGGGGGAGATTGCTGGTGGGAGGGCGGGTGCAGTGTGGAGGAGGATAAATGGGAGGGAAAAAATGGGACAACTGTAATAGCATAATCAATAAAATATACTTAAAAAATTGAATCTTCACTTTACTAGAGGTAAATACAATGAGCCCTATGTACCCATCATTTCATTTCAACAACTAACACATCATGGATAATCTTGTTACATTATACCTCTCTAGTCCCTAGATTATTTTGAGGTAAATCTCAGACATTCTATCGGTTCACCTATAAATACAGGGTCTGGCAGAAGTACTGCCACTGAGTGTGGTTGGTAGGGTATGTGATTGTCTCACACGAGATGGAGAGCAATTTGAACATTTCACCTAAAATGTCATATTGTGTGCTCGAGTGTAATATTGTTATGTTACAGAATTACATGCTTATGATTTTTGTAATAAAAGATTTTTATGTAATAAAAAGGGCATTATTGTTCCGGACCCTGTATTTCAGTGTTCATCTCTAGAAAGTTATGGACTTAAGGACCATACTCCAAACTATCAGATACACTGTCTTAAGAGTATGTCTCCCCAATTCAGTGAATGATGAAAATGATTTATAAATCATTAAAATTTATTTTAATGTCTTGTTATAATATTCTAAGAACCACCATACCACTATCACTCTATGAGGGTAGGAATGCTTCACTCAGGTCATTTCCTTCAGCAGTGCTTGACATTTTTGCCTTCTCTCCCCTACTCCTTCCCAGGAAGCGTGGCTTCTCTCACCACGGCACAAGAGAGAGGAACTGCATGTAATGCTCAGCTCTTTCTCCCTCTCTGTCTTTGGGAACCAGGCTTTGATTCTCTATCCCTGGAGGTTTATAGGTCATGACCCTCAAGGGGGAAGGGCTGTGGAGATCAAATGCTATGTTTCACTGTGTGGGCAAATCTGCCTAATTCTAGAATTAGGTATTGGAAAACCCATTGTCATATATCTAAGCCATATTCTCCAAAACCAGTTTTATCAGAATTAAGGTTATTTATTTTCATCATTTGTCACTTCTTTGCCTAAGTTCCCTCAAATTCCCAAACCTACCACCACGAATACCGCTACTTGCACTATCGTATAATTAAGACATTAGCCCTGTCCTATGGAGTTTATATTTTAAATATAAAATTTAATGTTGATATTGTCAGGTGTTAAAGAATACAAAACAACAAAAAACAATTACCAAAATCTGCTTTGATTATGAAGAATTTTGCTGAAATGTACCCCATGTCTCCTACTCTTATCATTACTATCAATCTTCAGTTTTGTTTCTCAGGGATAAATTCACGTACAAGCATTATCTTTCAAATCTTGAGATAAAGGCAATGTGAAATATTCAGGAAATATTACATACACTTTCAAAACCAACGGTTGTGGAGTAAAGACATTACAGCTTTGCTATAACACCTCCCAGCCTTCCTACAGACTTCCAGGAAGACGTGAAGAAACCTTAACACTTCCCTGCTGGTGTGACAACAGGAAACAAGAGGGATGCTGGGACGTACTTAGTACCATGATGTCTGCCTGAGGCAAACTTTCAACCATCAACCATAAAGAAGTTCCTGTGCTGTAGGCCAAGAGAACAAAATTATAGTGAGGTACAATGTAACTGAAATGACACCCTTCTCCTTGGCAGGGCAAGAAGGGACACAAACTTGGAGTTGAATCTTTAGGGAAAGGACACAGAGCACCACAAAGCCTCCCCATGATTGTGATACCCACTAGCATTACAACTGCCACGTTCTGATGCAACATCCTATCACCACATTGCAACACATAATTTATAGCTCCAAGTGTCAAATTATGTCAGTTAATCTCTTCCTTTCTCTCTTTTCCCCAGGCCCTTTAGAAGAAATGATATGGAACACGTGCCTTCCTCTTTCCTGGCTGTTCTAAAGGAGGACAGCAGAGGAACCACAACTTCCCAATTGCTTGGAAAGTTATAGCTTTCCTCTGCCCTAACAAAACTTACTGCAATTAAAACCCTGCAGCCTCATATCAGATGTTAATAGCAACCTCAAATATTGCATAAAACTATGAGTTGAGGGGTCATTTCCTCAATGTCAAAGGAGATGCAATTAATGCTTCTTTATCTGAGAAATAACATAGAGTGGCAAAGGCACAGAGGAATTTTTTGGTGGATAAAAGAAAAAGTTGAAGGTAAGGGACTATTTAGTAAAGCTGAAGCTATTACTGAGTCATCCCCTGGACCTAGGAGGAAAGGGGACACTGGGCGAGAACTTCCGGTGTACTGAGTACCCAGAGTATGATCTGGCAGGGGGCTGGACTTTAGGCAGGCATGTCCTCTGGGGCTACTCATCCTGTGAAGTGGGATTTGGCTGGAGGAAGACCAGAGCTGGGACCTCTAAAGTACAGTCTTGGAGCCTAGATTGAAGAGCTGTACTGCTTACTGTTACTACTATACTTTTAGGAGCTAATTATATTTTAACAATCACAAAATGCAGATAATTAGACTTCTCAGCCCAACCACCCCCCAAAACTTTCAGGCATATTATTGAGAGTAAACTTAGAGTAGCATATCTCAAAAGATGGCCACCTGATCACCTGCATCAGGATAACGGAGGATGCCTATTAAAAATGTAGAATTGTTTCCCAGGTCTAAGGAATCAAAACTCAAGAGCAAAATCCCAGAATCTACATTTTTAACAAGTATCTTAGGAGATTTTGAAATCCTCAGTCTGGTGACCACTGCGGTAGAGCCTCTGTCCCAACCAAGTGGGACTGAGTCAGAAAGGAGCTGACTTACCCGAAATGGAACACTTAATTATTTAGGACAAACATGCTTTTGAACTAAGAACATGTCCTTACAAATGTGGTGTGTGGTATATACAAAT